ATAGTGAATTTTAGAGCGCATTTATTCTATTGTCATTTATGCGCTATCGATGAGGATTCAATTCAATCCAATAAATGTTTAAATAAAATGAAAGAAGAAATGAATATAATTTAATACTTCGTGCAAGGAAGTCATATGGTGTACACATCAGATTTCTTCTATTTATTTTGAAACTTAACATAAGCTTTCGTGCTTAATTAAAAAGTAACATTACAACATTCTCACACAGAAGGGGAAAGACTAACAGCTTTCTCGACGCATAATGCGTCTTACTCGCTCGCATTTCTCAGGAAAAAGCCAGCGGTTTTGTTTTTCTTACTTGATCACCTTCCGGTCATTGTGGTGGACACTTTTTCAATTTAGAGAAACAGGAAGTTTTCTAATATAAACCTGATGTCACACAGGGTTTGAGGATGAAATATTTTTGGGTGTCTTTTGAAGAAGTTTTGGAACATGTGTTGGGGTTATATTCAGTTTCATTCCGTTTGCCATGATTAAAAACTTAAATATTTGTCCAAAATCACCGGACACTCCTCATTTTCGTCTAACTGGAAAAAATTTGCTGAAAATTTACGTTGACGGAAAAAGGTAGGAAAAGATGCGTTGCATGGGGTAAAAACAAAGAAAAGCGAAAGCAAATAACATATTTTAAGTGCAAAATATACAATGTAGGACTGTGTGTCGATCCTTGTTTTGAATTATTTCACACACAGCCAGAATTTTAAAATTGGAATTTAATTACCTGCAGGTACATCTTGCAATGCTTAATTTTTTTAAATTTCGTATTTGTAATTGTTTCTTTTATGTTTATAGTATATATTTGTGTGTGTATAGTTATGATTTTAGTATTTTGTCTATTTCTATTAATGTGATATTCTTTATATTAATACCAATTAAAAACAAGTACATTAAACATGCAATCAGCATTTCGATATAATCGAAAAGCTGATTTTATAAGATTTTTTTTTTTTGTAAAATTAGGCTGAACTGCTAAACATGCGTGGTCCGGTGGGCGAAGTTTCATTTCAGTAGGTCCGGTCCCATGACTGCGCTTCGTTCTCTTCCCGCCGGCCCTCAAGGTGGTAAAGAGATTGGTTAATTAAAAACAAATTTGTAAAATCATAACATACGAGCATTATGGAACATTAGATTATTAAAAGGACCTAAAGAGTGATGGTGTTCAAAATTAACAGAAACACTGTCATATAATTAACCGAAATACCTCTTTGAAATACGGAAATAGATTACTAGAATAATTAATATTCAAATTAATCCTAAGCATCACTGCGAGAGGCGATTAAAATTGCTTAATCTGGTTTTGAAATACTGCATGCATAAGAACCAAGTTTACGTTCATATCACCATAAATTTCTGGTCCCACATCTATGCCATACTCAAACAGGCCCACCAGCGGCCGAGCGGTAAAGTCGATAAACACTGGTAGTTCAGTCTGAATCCCGCGAACAAGCTGGCTGCATGGGTGTTTTCCCCATGTGTAACGTGTATACGAGCCAGTTTCCATTGGAAAGTTCTCCACAAAGGTATCCCTCCCCTTAAGCAGATAGTCCTCGAGACTTTGCCGTAATTAAATAAACTAACCTAACCATACTCAAACATGGTCCACATATGCACTGTCAACAGTCATAATGCATTTTTACAGAGTTCGTACACATTTCTGCACACGGAAATTAAGTACTTTTAAGGACCACTAATGAAGAAAATTAAGGACCTATGAGCAAATGGGAACTGAATAAATTCAATTAAAATATTACTCTGTGCCTGAATTTCACTTTTGTAATATCATCCTAAAAATAGATTCATAAGTAGTATGCATTATTACTAAACATGAATTAACATAATTATTAATAAGTTTGAGAATAAAATAAACTTCATGTAGTTTATCAAGTAGCATTAAACAGTTTACACTGATAATAGGTTGGACATATTTGAAAGAAGATAAGTGACATTTACGTTTTACTAATAATTAGCTTTATGTTGATTTTTTTTAGGTCTCATTTTGTCACATACTTGGTTGACCAGCGGTTCTCAACCGCTGGTACACAAAGAAGCAAAGTATTTTTAACTATTTGTTTCAAAAATTAAAACCCCAACATCCTGACTGAGTTTCTAACACTCGAAAATTTATACAATCTGAGCTTTGTTCAAAAGTTGTGGTGGTGGTAGTACTTTGTAAGTAGTGGTACTAAAGGTTTTCAATTTTTGTTTAGATGGTACACGTTAGTCAAAAGGTTGAGAACCGCTGGTCTAGAGGTTTAGTAAATAGCAGATTTTATGTCAAACGGCATAGGTTAAAATGAAAAGATCATAATCAGCATCATTCATAACAAGATTGAATCTGCCCAAGGGGGAAGCCTTCGTGGGGGACTTTCTACGGAAAACTAGCTCGTATACACGTTAAATTCCCAATCACACATGTTTCCGCTAAGAGGTACTGGACGTCGAAAGGGACAACTCTCAGAACCCGCACATTTCCACGAAACCTACGTACCTAGGTCACCATTTTTACTTACTAAACAGACTTGAAACCCAAACAGTAATCGATTATCGCTCAGATTGGGATCCCATGATCCTTCAGAAGCAGAACTTTTGTCTGATTGTTTGATATCTACCTGGGACAGAGCTGCAGCCAAAGCATTTTCGGCGAGGTTTCAAAAATCCCGCGTAGACGGTCACTGCTGCTTGTCTAGAATGAGACGTAATTTTTTTCACTAAATGCATTTAGAATGAATAGAAAAAGTGACTAATTTAATTTCGTTTGTAATATGGAATTCAAAAGAAATATGAAATATATATGGTAAAAGCCGGTTACGGAGTTGGTGTGGCAGAATTTTTAGAATTTAATAACACACCAAGCAACAAAATCTAGAAATGGCAAAACTTTTAGAATTTAGCAAGACACTATGCAGTCTATTTTAGGATCCACAGAGATTGCATCAGATGGGAAAATGCCTAGTGCCAGGGCATTTTCCCATCTGATGCAATCTCTGTGTATGATGCATTAAGACACATTAGATAGACCTTTTAAATTGTAAGTTTTCAATTTCTTTATTAATAAAAAAATTTCTTTCTATAATGTCTGCCTAAGTGATAAGATCAGAAGCATTTTTGATATTTTCCATGCTTGTGTCTAGTGAAAAGTATGTTAAGAAAAAGATTCTAGTATTAGGAGTAAAACATTCAAATATTATGTCTTCATTGTTCTTCCAGACGTTCTCCAAAAAGTAAAAAATTCATCGCAAACTTTCTGCAAAATACATCCATTACGCGTTGATACCATGGAGACATTTCTCATTTTGTCACATATTTTTTGAATTTTCTAGAATCGTGGGGTCTGTAAGTCTTGCCTTCAAATCCTTTTAAATTTTCCAAGCTGCAATATCAAAAATACTAAAGAAAAATTATCTCAACAAATTCTGCAACAGCGAAAAGTCAGAAATATTTTTGGAGGGGGAAAAAAGGGGGAGGGAAAATGTGTAAAAATAACTTTATAGAGAAAACTTATGCATATTCTGAGAATTTTGAGTCAATTACATGGGAAAAACGATTACTATGTAAAAATTAAAAAGATATTTTTTAATTAATTACATAGCTAATTTTGCTTTTGCTAAGAGCTATTTTGTAAATTGTGCTTTATAGCATTATACCTTGTTTAATTTTCAGATTCAAAATATTGTATAATAAGTTGCCAAAATGAAACTTTATAATACGACAGCGAAAAATAAAAACGTTTAATTTTAAATATAACTCCAATGTTATTATTTTAATGAAATTTATCAATGATACGATGTTTTAAAAAAAAATCTCCAAAAAATTCTGATTTCGGAATTAAAAATTTTCTATAGAAACTGATCTTAAAATGTTGACAAGTCACCAAATTTAGAACCGTTTAATAAAAGAATTCACATTCCCAAAAGCGAAAATTGTTTAAGAGCTCTTTATTACAAAAAATGAATTTTGAAGTGCTTGCGTTTCACTTCTTGCTTAGAAATTCGAGTATCTCATCATTTATATTAGGAACAGAAATAAATTATAACCCATGAACACATTCAAAAGATATCCATATACGTCTGTAAATTGCCAAAAATATTTCTCCAAAATGCTAATTCACACTCAAAATGGCAGTCGTAAAAACAGGCAGAAATTTCAGATGATTAAAATTAAGGACCTTGTAGTAATTTTGGCCAAAATTAAGAACTTTTTAGGACCAAAAATCAATTCCAAAAAATGTAAGGCCTGTATGAACCCTGTTTTAATGTGATTTCTGAGCTCAACAAATGTTTAAAGTTTAAAGCAATGGGGGCATATAGTCTTCAATATGTTTTTAAAGAAAGTAAGGAAGAGCCCAAGACTTTCTCATCGTGATGCCCTGTTGGTATAATTCTAGTCGTCAAACAGAAATTTTCCCTGAATACGATTTAATAACAACATGACAATAAATGTAAGACTGCTCTATACAAGTGACAGTATTCAAACCTGGTCCCCACATGCACTCTCAATAGTCACAATACATTTTTAATGTGATTTCTAAGCTCAACAAATGTTTCCAGCAACGAGGGCATATAAAGCCTCACAAACCATAAGATCTAGAGATCAGAGGTAATGCAAATGGCATTAAATCATTCAATTTAGTGTGGTGTTCTTCATTGAAGTAATTATGTGAATGTAAACATGGATACCCAATGCACATTTCTGTATATCATTCTTCAAATAACATTTTTTGTTTTCTGAAAACTGTCTAAACCCTGATGAATTATTTACAATAATGCAGTAGTTTATACTAAAAGTTGGTAAGGAAAAATGCTGATGGAAATGTCGTCTTAGATTGGTCTTTTTAAATGAGATCTGTCTCTTGAGCGAGCTTCTTTTTAACAGGTAAAACCTCTGGATATCTGTCAGTGGGATGTTAAATTTTCCATCGATCACCCATGCCTGTACAACACTTTGACTACTAAACAGAATTAAAAAAAATTACACAAGAGTATTTTTTTAACTTTATTTTTTTTACTGATGATACACTAAAAGAAAAATCCCAAGATTTTCCCACCAAGATGCTTCCTTCTTGCTTCTTCATGGTCCATAATGCCTCCTGATGTGGTTAAAACAAGATACCTAAACACAGAAAACAATTTCCTTATTTCTAGTAATATACTCAAAAATAGTTATAGAATATAGCAAGTCAAAAATCAGCATTTCATAAATTAAATATTAAACCTACAGGGATAAAATTTATTGAAAACATTTATTTTTGGCAGACAATTTTTATCATAAAATAGAGAAAACATGGAACCATTCAAGATATACAAATATGTAGGATGGATACACAAATATGAATTAAGTTTCCAGCCCATCATAATAAAGGCCTATTATTTCATTGTAGGCCTTCATCATGCTCATTGACTACTATGTAGGTCTACAACGAACATACATTGAAAAGCCAAAACATGACCATCCCCACATTTTTCAATGAAATCTGGTGGATGTGGAGCCATCAGGATGAATTCCAGTTAATGTCCTGGCCAACCAAGTCGCTGCATTTTAATCCAATAGAGCATATTTGATACTTGTACTTGATTTACATATGCTCTCGGAATTTAAATGATACTATAGGTTTGTTCGCAGTAATAATTGATAATTTATTTGTAATTCAATTTCATTAACTTTAATTTGCTTTTTACAAATAGATAATGTTTGTTAAATTTATATTAGAACAATGCTATATATAAATCTAATACATATCCTAAGTCGCGCTTTCGAGGCATGAAAAATGCAAGTTGAATTTAGTCATTCGGCCCAGTAGAACGGAAAATATAGAACTGTCCCCTTTTTTTACAGTGTACATATTAAATGCATAATGACAATAAATTTAATGAACACATATAAGCATTAGTAGCATAATTAACAGATATAAACATTAGTTAAGACAGAATAACTGCAGGGGGATTACATTATCCAGGGGTTTAGCTAGTGGTTTGTTAATAATACTAGAAAAATCATTAGGATCATATGTGGCTATTTTGATGGCAGGGTTATCAATTGTTTTCTGTTTTTCGTGAAATCTCTTAGAAATCTTATAATAATGGGTTCTGAGTAAAACTGACTCTTAATTCTTCATGTATTCTCTGGTTCCTAATATACCATTGTGAATTATTTATCAGCCTTTGGATACAGTTTTGGGTGGTTTGAAGCAGCATTCTGCAATTTCTATTTGAATAAGCCTATACAGGGCATGCATAAAAGAGTAATGGATTTATAAATTAGTAACTTGTTAGCTATAGATAAAATACTGTTTCAAGCAATTATGGGGAAGAGTCTAGCTTTACGAGCTCAAAACTTCTGTAGAACAGATGTGATGTAAGGGGTCCAAGAAAGTGTTTTACTTAAGAGTCACCCTAAGATAAGGGACTTGCTCGGTCCAGGGTATTGAATTGCCATAAAAATTTAGGTTTTTCATGAACTTTGTTTTTTAGTGAACAAAACGCGGTTTTTTTTTAAAAACATGTTTCTCTGTTTTTCTCTCTCCTTGCTAAGAATGACTAAACATACACTAAAATATGCCTATAACTTTCAAAATTCACAAACCTGGCTTTAACAACTGAATTGTTGCTATAACTTACTGGTCAGAACGAACACAAGTGACATTGTGATAAATTTTTGTAAGGCTAAATTTTAAACATAACATACAAAATTATATAATAAAAGCATAGTTTTAAGGTAACACAAAAATTATTTAATAAATTATAATATTCTTACCCAAACTGTCTGGAAGGCAAAAGATTTCTCATCCATTTCTCTAAATCTCTTAGCTGTACATCAAAGCGTGGACTGATAACACCACATTTATTTAGTCGCCCAGTTAAATTCACAACTATTTTTCCTGCTCTGTGGTCATCTACAATTTCAAATTCTCCTATGTAACCTAGAACAATAAATTAATGTAAGCATAATGCATGCAGACTTTTTTCTGAATCTTGACAATAAGTTTTTACATAATCCATTAGGATTAAGCTTTGAAATGTAGCTGGAAGCCTGATCACTAGTACCACATAACTTTCAGTGAAAAGGCTAGGCAGGAAAAAAAAAAAAACTGCAGACACATATAAAATAGAAATTATGATAAAATTCAAAAGCAACTCAAAATACCTTTTCATTTGTTGCCATGCGCATTATGTTTAAAGAAATAATATAGCGAGTATAAAAAAGAGTATGGCAACATTCAACACTACACAGATTTCCGATATAATTTTTATTTTTTGCACATCAGTTTGTTATTATTTGGCAAAGCTATAAGCTATTTAATTTTTAATTTAAATTTAAATTTTAAATTCTGTTTATTAAAAACTAAGCAATTTAAAAGTAGTTTTCAACTCTTGATTACAAAGAGTGAAGTTACACCACTTTCATAACGAATGTTGTACATTTAGGACTAGTGATGCACATGTGGTCTGGGATTTGAGACTATCTTTCTGGACACTTCTACAGACTTACAGACACTTGTAATTAGAATAAGATAATCCTACAGATTTACGGACTATTTTCATCTCTTCAACAATATGTACTGTATTGTAAATATTATTTTACCTCTCATTCTCCTGCACCATAAATGTTATACAGCAACGGCCACCACTTAATGATTTCTGACACTTTCCCCAGGTCCAAAATTCATTTTCAGTTTACAGATGTCTTTCTTTACTTTTTTGATTTGTTTGTCATCCAATAGAACCTAGCATGATGTCATTGTCTAGCAAATTAGTTTCTCTTTCCTTCACTTTCCATTCTTGCCTCCTGTTAATTCTTCAGATTGTAGCTTTTTAGTGGCTATATTCAGTTAGAAAGAAGTGTTTCCAATTCCACAGTCTTTCTGTTGGTGAAACATTAAAGCAATCTAATCTCCCAAAAAAGTTCTTAATTCTAACAACCTCTATATCATCAAATATGTACTTCCCCATTACATTCCTTGATTAATAATTGCTCCTTTTCCAGCTCACTTCTTCACGGCATCAATTTTGGGAGTTCTTGCTGTTTACCTAAATTGTAACTAAATGAAGCAGCTTAATAAATAATGGTCAATAAATATCACATCCGTCCTCCTCCCTTAATTTACTTATTAATATGTCAATAAAATAGAAAACTACAGTACAAAGTCTGTAATCCGTACTTGTCAAGACCTCGGCAATTCCCATGGAAGTAGGAAGTAAGATGGAGTTGCCCTAAACAAGTTTCTCCCGTACCCTGCTCTGAAGCACCAGCGATCCCTACCGGGGGACCAAAACATTGGGTCATTTATCATTGAGTTCAATGGGATTTGACGCGTTCGGATCTAAATATTTTGTAATTACGTCGTAAATATACATATAAATGTATATATTTTCTTTTTCTACAACACTTCAGAGTCCTAAGTATATGAAAACAACATATTTTTAAACAACATTTCATTCTGAACAGAATTAAAGGCTATACTTTTCACAGGACAGTTTTCTCAGCATGGTTTAATTTGAATGAAATATTTTCACAAGTTTTCATTAATTACATAAAAAAAAATTAAGGTGATTCGATTTTATTCGGTTAAGGTACAAAAATTAAGATCAAAGTTTATTGTATTATTAATATTAAAATTATGCATTATTTCTTTTCTATTTATAGAGCTTCTTCCTAAAATACTTTCTTAAATATGACATGATTTTTTGGCTTCTGAAGCATCTTTTAAATCGAAAAATGTAAGTCAATTTATAATTAATGCTCTATTCAGTTCATTTTAAATTAGAGAATTATTAGGAATTGGCGAAATACTTTAAATAGTACTTAACTTTCTCTGAACGTTTCTGAAAGTAAATTAAGGATTTTTTAAAATTATTATTTAAAACTTGTAACTGAGTTATTATAAAATGTAAGGGGAATAATTCTTTTAATTATAGTTATCAGATTTTTTATTACCCTTCATTTCAACAATACATATTCCAAAATTCTTTATTACTTTCTTAAGTGCGCATCTCATAGCATTTGCTTTACAATACATTTTAACAGATTGCTTTCCAATACGAACAATTCTTGCTTAAATAGTTTTATAACGTATTTGTCAACAGGATTTCAATTTATGTTTACGATTCAATATTAAGGTTATTATATATTTAAGTAACATTTATAATCATTTATAAATTAGATACATTAATAATAGATTTCTTCACAGTACTTTCACAGTTGTTTATAAGTGAATAAATTCTTCATTTCAAATACTTTTATAAATAATTTAATGAATATTTATGTATTTTGTCAAAGGCAGATACATGCTTTTTGCAATAATATGCAACAATAATATATGGATGTGAAAAAAATTTGTTTTATTTAAAACATTTGGCATTTGGAAAAAAAATAAAGTAGCGAATACTCTATCAAGGTATCGAAAGACGTATACAATTTTAAATGCACCGTAAGGTATTTTTTATTCTTTAAGCATAACATTTTTCTTAAAATCTATATTTTTGTAGGTCAACAGCTTAGAATTTTATAAAACAAATTCATAATCAAAATCGCACTGTGTTAGTTATCGAAAAATAACTAAGATGTGATTTTTGCGTAAATGTCACTAAACTATACAAATTGCTATTATCCATCACACTATGACTGTTTCTTTCATGCGAAAGTGTCCCTTTTTCGATTTGTATGGAACTGCCGTGTGTCGAAATATTATCAGAACCGTGTCAAGCGAGCTTCTGAATGTAAACAAAGAACACCCCATCTGGTGACCCAAGCTTCAAAGTAGTGCTTCACTTCTAGTGCCGACTGGCCCCTCCTTCCTTTCCTATCTCCATGGCAATTCCGGATCATAGATCATCAATTTAAATCTGGTAAGATGGCATGCAGAAATTATACAACTAAAAATATGAAATTTATGAAATAAAGAGCAAAAAAGAGTTTGTGGCTTTAAGGTCCAGATTATAGATCATTCCGGATAATGGACGCCTGAATTACGGACTTTGTACCGTATAATTTAATGTTTCTTTTTTATTTGTTTAATTTCTTTTATATATCGTTTTGGATTTATTACAGTATTTGAATGGAACATGTGGTAATTCTTCAGGTGACATGATTTTTGTGCACTCTGAGTGAATTTAGCGCCGAAGTGTCGCTATAGTAAATAAATATAGTGAATTTAAAGCGTGCATTTATTCTATTGTGTTTTATGCACTATCGACGAAGTAGATTTAATTCAATCGGATAAGTTTAATGCAAGAAAAAATGAATATAATTTAATATTCAGTACAAGCAAGTCATGTAGTGTACACATCAGATTTTTTAATTACCATTAATTTGAACAATCATTCGTAATAATGGTTTTGTATGTTTGAAAACATGTTCTTTATATAAATGCAGTAATGATCACGAAAATGCATTACACATTATATAGTTAATGATGAAATTTTAAAATAATAAAATATGCATGTATTTCCACAATAATATTCCATTCTCAAAATGTATTCCAGGCTATTCAATCATTAAGTCAGGTTTATATTTTACATTCCGGATTCTTTTATGTACATAACTTTGATTAATAAGACTAATTTTTATTTTTTTCCTCGTTTAAGTGCGGAAACAGTTTTTATGTAGGTAAGCAAAGAAATGCAATACTGAATTGCATAACTGCAGGGAAACAAAATTTGTAACAAGCGCTTCTATGGCTTTTAAACGACATTATGCAATTGTTTAAATTTCACAAAGAGACCTATCAAATAGGTAATTATTTGAAATTGTCTGTATTTATTCCATGAAAAGTTAAATCCTAAAATACTATTTTTGTGCAATCTGAACACTGTCTATAACAGTGGTTTCAAACTGGTGGCTCCCGAAGCAATTTTATGTGGTTGGAGAATGTATTTCAAATATGCATTTGTTGCAAAGATTTCTGTTTTACTTATTTGTTATGTGTTTACTTACTCGTTTGTACTTACAAGTATCAGTTTATCTTGCATTCATTTCTATTAAACATGAACATGAGTTTGGAGGCAATAAAGGTTACTACCTGGGACTTTGGTAATAATGTGAGCAGTACTCAGTTCCGATTACGCATTATTTTGTGTGAGGGAAATGAGAGATCATGGGATATGTCATGTGATATTAATGGACGAATTACGGTTCTTTAATCGGAAAAAGGGGGGAAAATCGGGAAAAAATCTGGAATTTGTATTTGGCTTTATTCTGTGTTGTGTGAAACGGTGTTCATTAATTTTTGGATCCCATGGCCCTAACTAAAGTGAATTCGAAATGGGTATTTAGTGGCATTGAAAGGGGTAGTAATAAGTGTTTCTTTAAGGTTGTGCGAGATAGAAGTAAAGATGTTTTATTAAGTTATTTATTTTACCTGGTACCTTGCTGTGAACTATAAGTATGATTTTAAAGATCCTGAAACAGGCGCACATACGCTTGCTTTTTATGTAGCGGAGGAAATAAGAAAAGTTTATCGGACACGTAATCAAGATTCTGAAGAAGATTAGGTAAGTTAGTATTTTTAATTATTTGATGATATTATTTTTATGCATTGTTCTAAATGTAAGGTGGAAGTAAAGTAATCTGGTATTATTGGGAAAATTGTTATTAGCAATGATTTAGTTTAAGTAATTAGGATTGTCAGCTAATGTTTATTAATTTAATGTATGTGCTTATTTATATTTTAAGTAGTGTTATTGAATTTAATTATATTTGAATTAAATGATAGTTATTTTGTGAATTTTATGTTTGTAGGAATTTGGTATACGTTTTAGTTGAAGTAAACGTGCATGGAAATAATTTAAATATTTGACACTAAGTATTTGTAATGTTTGTGGTATGAATTCGTTGGTGACGTTTATAATATAATAGATAATTTAGAGGTAAAAGTTTTTTCGGATATTTTATTTATTTTATATGTGGAAATGTTCATATTTG